GAGTGGTGATGTCGTGACAAGTCCATTTGTGGGAATGGCAATAGCCGGGCGAAGTTCAACAATAATGTTCTGCAACTAAACTCCAAGCGCTAATCTTTAGCAGCTTCATGATTAAGTGACTAGTGCTCATAGAATATATAGTTCGACTAGCCTCCCGATCGGCAAGACCAAAGGATGCCAAAGCATGTGACTAGCTTACTGGTTTCAGCTGGAAAGCTTTAATTGCCTGCCGCTGTTCTGCTGCACAGCATCACCTTTCAAGATCACCTCTCAAGATGTCTATGCAGAACAGCTCGCTTACGTGTAACAGCCAAGACGGAAACGCAAAGCTGCGACAACGCCTTGCAGTCGAGCCACCTGTAAACACCCAGGAAGTTACCTCCCGACATCCGAAAAGCGCCATCCCAAGACACCTTGAAACCTGAAGATCCCGGGAGCACCAAGCGACTCAACGTCGACGAAGTCGAGTTGACAGAAGCAGCCGGCAGGACAGAGGCCAATCTTCTAAGCACTCGGTCTGGGTCAAAGGATTACGATGCCTATGCCTACAGAACGAAAAAACCTATTCCTTTGGGTTCCTTGTTTCGTTTATGGTACAATATACCCCCAAGACCCTATTCTGATTCTCACGGCCCCTAAATTACAGAGATGGATAGCCACTCGAACGTGGCCAGGTGCTTGCTCGGGTTCACGCATACTGCCGGTTCGGAGACCTGGCTCTTGGTCTACCTGAAGGTTTTCTGCGTGACCCGACGAATCAGGGCTTAAGGATCTATACCCTGAGGCCTAATCCCTTGCATGGTAGATGGGGGTTTCCAAAAATAGGGGACCGTAATATAGTACCCTAACTACTAGGACCCTTATTCTAAGGACCCCAAAATAGGGTACCCTAATTTTCAGAAACTCCCAGATAAGCTTTATGCCTGCCGGCGGCTCACACGATGTAGAATCCGATCCGGTCGCAAAGGTCTCAACAGCACAGACGTCAGGGCTGCAACCTGACATGGCCGGAGGGAGTTGTGACGGTCGGAAGTCACTGCTACTAGTTCTGCTGAGGTTGTAGCAAAAGGAGACCCTTGAAAATACATCCGCTGGCCCTTTTGAAAGCGGGTGCTCTCGCCGCATAGCGTCGCAGCCTTCTTTGCTCCGGCTTTGCTGCGTCTAAAAGGTAGCATGGTCTGTGCCGACCACTGGTCAAATTTAATTTTGTTCTCACTCACGGAAGCACATGTCCCTAAACCCTGGACTTTGCCCAGCTTGGAGCATCAGGTTCTGGGCCCCTGGCAGCGGGGAGTGTCGCCTTCCTTGGCGACGGAATGTGCTGCATCTTCGGGGCTCATGCAATGAAATGCTGTCCAAGAAAGACTTTAAGCCCAGCCTGAAGCGAAGCATCACTCGCCAAAGAAGCTCAAAGGCCTAAAGCGTCGGCCTCGGCTTCCCTTACTTGCCTCCGAGCTTCTTCGTACGCTCTCGACCCGCCACGGCTGACCACTGACAAAAATAGTCCTTGTTGCCGGCGCGGTAGGGTTTAGGGCATAGGGTTTAGTTGCAATCCGAGCCCCTTTGCGAGTGATAGTGCGGCCAAGTCTCCCAATGCGATGCATGTCAAAATGCAAGGTAAAGGCTCACAAGGCATGTTCGCACAAGGCCCAACGGATTCAGACAGGTGGCCGCTCCGACATTAGAATCTTGCAGTCTTACAGTGTCTCCCCACGGCACCTCCTGAATCCATTCGCCCAAATCAAATGGGTCGCTGTAAATGATCCTCGCTCTGCTTCCCTGGTTCCGGTGCAAAAATTCGCATGGAGGTTCGGAGGTTCTTGCTTTGTTCGGGGCACCATGGAGCAGGGAAGCCGGCATTCTCGCGAGGGTTTGATATGGAGATGAGGCGGTCTTGCAACTCGCACAGTAGATTTAGAGCATGAATCAAGCAGACTTGCTTGACGAGGCTTCACGCAATGAGACGCATCAGATATAAATTTCTGCATGCGTTATGATGACGGATCGAACCCAGCACTGCAACGCGCAGGGATCGAATTCACGGCTTCCGTGTGGTGAAGTCTCCAAAGACTTGCATCAGAACGCGTCTTCCGTTCCAAAGGCATGCCGCAGCGATGCATTCACTGCGCCCTTTTTCTAAATCTTCCTGGAGTATCTCTCCCATTCCGAGCCCAAGCCTCCACTACTCGCAGCTCAGCTACACCTAAACCCCTCGTCATCGCAGTGTGAACGCATCAGCGGCCGGTACGCGGTAGGACAGCAGGAGCTCGTCATAAAGAGGGCCCGGAGCTCCCCGGTTGATATCTAGGTTGGATATCTCCTTGACTCTCCGCATTCTCCTGACCTTCGATCTGTCAACCCTGCATGTGTCTCTCTGATGATACTAAGAAAAGGAGGGGATAGCTTATGATATCGAAACTATCGAAACCCAAAAGGCCACTAACCTCGGAACTTTGAGACCTTCCTATGCTCTAAAGGCCCACACGGGTTCCTGCTGCCGCATCTTCGTACCCAACAGCTTTGATAACACTTGGCCCGGCTCCAAGGGCTCACTGCCCCAGGGACTGAGAGCCGCTTCTCTGAATCTGTTCTAAGAGAAACTACAAAGTACTGCTCCTAAAGGTCTTACCAACACCAAACACACTACCACGACCACGACCATGCCTCCTCCTCATCCTCCTCCTCCTGCTAGCTGCTCCTGCTCCTGCTCCTACTCGACAACGATGCCGGTGACGACGACGACGACGATCACCGTTTCTGCGACGAAGACTGCTGCGACTGCGGCGACGACGACGGCGACGATGATTACTCCCACTTCTGCGACGACCGACGAGTGCTGGTGCTACTGCTTGAGATATTGTTCGGATGCTGCAAAGTGCGAACTTGTCGGAGCAGGCAGGAAGTTGGAGTTTGTGCTGGGTGTGTCGGAAAAATGCGTCGGACAGCCCAGGCAAGAGTCGACAACAGCTTCAACAACACTTACCAGAAGTGGCCAGTCATTAACAACTAGACATACAGAATCCTCACAGAGCACAGCCTCCTTTCAAACAAACCCTGGCCCTGGACCTTTATTGCCGGCTCCGTCCCAAGGTAGCAGAGGCCCAGTCTGCCAGAGCTGTGCGTAAATGTCGAGTGGCAAGGACACCTCACCCCGAAGGTCGCTCCTCAGCGTCGCCTGAGGAGAGAGGATTTCGAAAAAAGGACTGCGTGCTTGGGGGCCGCCCTCGAAGATTCAGTCAAGCAAGAATGGCAAAAGCCCAGCCTCAAGGCAATGTTCGAAATGTGGAATCTGAATTTTCGCTGCTCAGCGCTGTTCTTTCCTTAGGCTGCCGGACACTGCACGGTGCTCAACTTCTCCCCTCTTGACACGAGACCGACGAGTACCACAGCACAGGTTGTCGGCGATTCATGCAAGCTTGCATCCAGGGATCGAAACTATTACGCGCCATGTCACCTCAGTGAGGGAAAACTCTTGCTTTTTTGAAGGATGGCTGCATACCGAGCGCACTGCACTCACGACGCAGGGTTTGCACTTTGAAGCCCAAAGCTGTAGCTGTGATCGCAAAGAGTGTTTTACCGACTAGAGATTACTCGGCCTGGACTTCGAAAGGCCTGCGCTGTTCCCTTGGAAAGGACCACGTCATGGGATGCGCTCTCCGCTAGCAGTCAAGAGTCAAGAGTAAACCCTCAAAACGGAAAAATCAGCTGAGTGCTCGGCTCACTCGAATGTCCCTGTTCGTCACATCTACATGGAGTAAGTGAAGCCAGTCACAACGACTGGTTGCGGCCTTAGCGTGGGTACAATATACGGCTTCCTCAGGTATGTGCACAGGGTGTATGGGAGCAAAACGTAGACTCACGAGAACCCACGGTCCGTCATGGCTCAAGGATGGGCCGACTCGACACGGAGTCACCCCCCTAAGGAGCCTTCTGAGAGCCTTGTCCCTAACAGCTACATCGCTCCCATCCCAAAGGCACAGAAAGAGAGCACTCTGGGGATCTCTGCTGCGAGCGCGATGGCGACTCCTGCGCCTCTTGGCCTTGCAATCAAAAATCCCTGTGATAATGGCAATGGTGGTCGTGAGGCTGGTGAGGCGACGGCCTCTCAGCTAATGTTGCTGATGATCTCTGTTGGCAGTGGCAATGCTGAGTGCGATCATGGGTCTAGACTGATGAGGACAGAGCAGTCAAGGCAAAGAGAAATGGAGATGGTGTTCATGCTGGTGACGATGATGATGGTGTTGATGATGATGATGATGATGTTGATGATGATGATGATGATGATGACGATGACGACGACGATGATGATAATGAAGCAGATGACGATGACGATGACGATGACGATGATGATGATGATGATGATGATGAGGATGATGATGATGATGATGATGATGATGGTGAGGGTGATGATGACGATGATGACGATGATGATGACGATGATGATGATGATGATGATGATGATGATGACGAGGATGCCGATGACGATGACGATGATGATGCTGATGATGATGATGATGATGTGCTGTTGCTGGTGCTGTTGCTGTTGCCGGTGGGTGCCGGTGCCGCCAGCGCCGGTTGCAGACGAGCACGAGTCACCACAGCAAGTTTGGGTATACTAGCCATTCCAGCTTTAGCTTTGCTGGAACGGTTGCTATGCTTGTGTTTCGCACGTAGACGTCCCAGCGTCGGCAAAAGACAGTGGTTGAGTTCGAGCTTGAGGGTGTCTTGCTCTGTTTGGTCTTCCTGGATTCTTGGCCCAACGTACTTGCAAAAGAGCGGTCCATGACTGGCCTCCATCGTTGGACTTGCTGTTTTCTGTCTGCCCGGTCTGTTCTCTTCATCCGAAACCTTGAAAACTCCTCAACCTTCAACCCGAAACCTAAAACCCTGACCCCAGAACCATGAACCTGAAGCCTAAACCCTAAACCCTAAACCCTAAATCCAAAGCCTGAAAGCTCTACAGACCCCGGAAGCACTGGCGGAAGAAGCGGGGCATCGGCTGGAGCCCTCTCCCTCGAGGTCGTAAGACCCAGAACTCCCGTCCTTCACACGATTATAAATTGATGTAACCTATAGTAGAATACAATATGTAGGGTAGTATGATATATAGTTAATATATAAACTATAGTAGAATACAATATGCATTTGTAGTATGATATCGTTTAGGCTCTAAGGGTTTATGGTTGAGGGTTCACGGTGGAGGCCTTTGAACATAGCTCTACAACTTCGTTTCTTGCGCCGATGCAGCATTTGCACCACTGGTCACTAGTCAGGCATTGCGATAACTGTCTTACTCGATCAGGGCTAGGCGCCTGATCGGTTGTAGCCGTAGAATTGGCTGCAGCTTGAGGCGGTTCGGTTGCCTGGCAAAGTTGAGGAAAAAGCAGCCCAAGCCCTGAATTCTCACCCAGCGTCCTCTTGCTTTCCTTTTGTCTCGGGTCCACTGCCACCACTGCCACTGAAGGATGACCTGGCTGAAGCATTGATGCACGTCGGAGTACTGGTCGGATTGTAGTCGTGTTTCCTATGGGGCCTTGGGGTGTACTATACCGTAATTATAATCGGGAGCCCCCAAAATAGTATTATTAAGGCCTCTGTATTATGCTGTTTGGTTGTATGGCGCGGCGACATCTCATGCTTAAACCTACAGGCTTTTAGAGCAAACACCTTACGAAACAGGTTGTCTGCTTTGCCTACTATGCGACAGGGACTCCAGAGGTGAAACACTGGGAGGCCGGTGGTGAGCTCCGATGGCTTCGAGGACACTCTAAAGTCTCCGGCTGGGTCCGAGATCTCGAAGTCTTGCTGCAGTACACATCACCGGCTCTTCCTTATGTAACCCCAAAACCCCGAAGCTGAGCTTTAGTCGGAGCCACACAAGCAGGCCGGGGAGGACCCTTGTGGATCTGCCGGTGCCGGTGATGTGGACATCTCCATGTGGTCTTGGCAGGGCTCTGTTATTTGGTTCTGCGGGGACTTCAGAGACCTGACGGCTGCTCTCCCAAAGAGGGAGCAGCGTTGAGAGTTTATGGTTTAGGGTTTAGGGTTTACGGTTTAGGGTTTAGGGTTTAGCGTTGAGAGCTCTTAGGGTTTAGACCATGTCGATCAATCGTTGGAAAGTCACATCCTTGAATCATCTTGAATCAAGACCGCCTCCGAGACTACGTCAAGCCGTTCATTCACGTCAGAAGCCCCTCTAATCAGGCACTGGAATTCAGGTCTCCTCCCGACAAGCCAGTAAGATCCATGGAGTCTCTTCTGCCGAGCCTTTTTCGAACAGGCACACCCTGAGAAGAAAGGGCTTCTGGGTTGTGCCGGGGACCGGACGCTTCATTCCTCCAGATCTTCCCTGGCAGGACAGATGGGCTTCTTTGAAACCTTCGGTCGACTGGCAATTGGACAGACCGACCCAGCAATTTGACACCGCCAATTATTGATCGAATTGGGCCCGTGGGATGTAGTAGTCGTGCCATGCCATCATGTCAGGTCTTGTATGCTGGTTTTGAATCCTTCACCAGCAATGTCTGCAAGGTGACACACACCTTTCGCGCAGAGGCGCTGGATTCTGCAAGGAAGACCCCCAACAAAAAAAAAATCCGGGCAAGCCCAATGCGAGCCAAGGAGAGCACAAGTAGACTCACTACTCTATTCGAAGGCCCTGGTGCGCTGTCGTCTCGGGGGTCCCTGTCGGTAAGGGTGCTGTTGAGATGACCCGTTGAACTCTGTGTTCAAGACCTCTGCAATAGAGCTGGGGCCCAATCCGATACTTCGCCTATTCCGACATCTTCGCTACTGCTACTCCAGCCCAAAGTACTCCCGCATGAAGAGCTTTGAATGCCAAACCGCTGCAGTTCACTACCCCGGAGCCCTCGATGATACGTCTTCTGACCCCCTTGCGCCTTGGGGGCTGTGGGTTCAAACTTTTGAAGCTTGATCACTTGACCGCCGACGAGCTGCTCCTGCACATTACATGGGCGGGAGTTATTTATTTCAGCCATGTACTATGAAGACATGTATGCGTCCTTGCTCCTGTGCTCTCCTACACTCTGCACACGATGATACTGCGGCTCAAGGAGAAACATGTTGGAAAAGTCTGTCGGTTTTGCGTTCGGCCTGCAGGACTCCGAGCTCCACGGCGTGGAAGCAAGATCCGAGACACTTGTGCGGCTCTTTCAAGCGAGTTTGCTTTTTCAATGGCCGCCGACGTTCCATGTGTTCCATGAGGTTCTACAGATGTTTGTCGCCTGGAAACCCCACAGGCCGTATATGGATGTAGTTTGATGTAGTGTTGCCATGGAAGCCAAACGCAATCGCTCCATCGAGCGTGCTTTCTCCGGCCTATGGCAAAGGCAACGCCGTCAACGCAGGAAGAATCTCCTGAAACGACCTACGAACTGCTCAGTGCGAGTGCTCTGCTCAGGAGCGGAGCTGCAGAACAGTGGCATCGACAGCGAAGTGTACAATTTCACACAGAGTCATGTTTGTGCCCATGCCTCGCCCAGAGCCATGATTTCTTTCACAGTGGCAGGAGTCTCCATGACCTGTGGACATCATTTCGTGCAGAGACTCCACCCTCCGCACATTTAAACGTGAGATAGTCTAGTCTAGCCTTCGCAGACAGCAGGAGCTCAGACATCATGTTTGCTGGCATTGGAGGCCTGTATGCCGTGCTCGATAGGTCCTATAGGTGAAGTGACATTGAGACTGCAACTTCACTGTCCAACTGGTGCAACACACGGCTCAAAAGAATAAAGCTTTCCGTCTGGCTTCGCTGATATTGCCCCGCCCGGGCCCCTTAACGAAGCATCGCACGAAGTGTTGAAAGAAACTCAAGAGTCTCTAATTCCGGAACTGCAGCGGAAGACTCGCAGCTGCAAAGACATTACTGCCTCTCAGTGGACTGCTAGTCAAGTTTGCCACGTGCAACGTAGACCTACAGCCACACACCGAAACAACTCCCTTTCATCATCTGCAACGTAGCACGCCAATCGCACAAACTAACATAATTCAAGAGTGTTTACACATCTCAAACAACAGAACGAAGCAGAATACAACAACGCACACCGCCGCGCAGCATGAGATTGCAAAGCACAGTGTCACTGCAGTGTAACATAGCAAGTTTAGTAGATAGACATCGTACAGGGCAGATGTAACAAACTACAACATGCGCTGAAGCGCAAACGGCAAGGTGCATTAAATCATTCAAGCACTTGCAGCTAAAACATCTGAATACCTTGCGATAGCAGAACGGCACACTGCACAACATCACACGCGGGTAGCAAGACAGACACAGCGAGCAATGGTATCTGAAAACAGTCTGGGATAGCTGAATATAGGGGTCATGCCATATACGACTATCTCACCCAGCATTTCCTCGACTTTGTAGCATCATACACGCCCCTAGGCCCCTGACTCTTCACCCGGCCCCGAGGCCCAGACCACGATTGCAAGACTACCCGGGCGAAGCTTTCCCCTCAGTTCTTGCAGGGTTGGAAGAGACTTCGGTGCCTGCCTAAGCAAGAAGCCCAAAGGTAAATCAACGAACATCTTAAGCAGTTCGGTCTTTAGGCGTCTTTCCACCGGGGATGACAGGCTTCATGTCTACAGCGGTGAAGCATGCTGGCTTTGATGGCACACATTGCAGTGATGCTTGCCGGAAGAGGGCCAGTACGTGCGTTAACTACCCCTTGCCGAAGTTGTCCAATTGATGTGATGCCTCGAACTTTGTGAAGGAACAGACTGCCAATCCCCCTGCAAAACCTCCTGAACAGATGGCCAGTTGCTGAGGGTGCAGTCGGCTGTTGCGCGCCTCGCATGTAGTAGCGGAAACTCGAGACTTTGCAGAAACTCAGCCTACAAATCTACAAGTTGTTTAAGATTGTTTAAGATCCCTAAACCCAAAGCCGCAATTTGCCCAAACCGGGGCGGTGAACTGGGCTTTTAGTGCTTGCCACGAAAGCGACAGCGGTGATCGAGCTTTGTAGAGCTCAGCTGTGCCTTGGCGTTTGCCACCAGGACCTTTTCCACCGGGCCGTACTTCGAGTAGTGCAGCCACAGCTCCTCTGCGAAATCTGGAGTGAGATGGGTCTCCTTGGAGGTTCATGGGTAGTTATAAGTGGGACCCTAATATGGGTTATAACTATAGTTACCCTACTTATAACCCCACTTATAACTACCCATGATCCTCCAAGTACTGGTCCGTGAACCGGGACAGGGTGCTCTGGGCGAATCAGCTCTTGCTTACAGCAGGAGCCCGAAAGTTGGAAACCCAATAGCCTCATGTCTTAAGGGCAGCGCATAGGGAATCTCAGCACTATTTGTCCTTGATCCGGTTTCCAACTTTTCGGGGTTTAGTATAGATTGGCTCAAAGAGTCTTAAGAGTAGTGTATAGGGAATCCCAGCACTGTTTGTCCTTGATCCGGTTTCCAACTTTTCGGGGTTTACTATAGATTGGCCCAAAGCGTTCTTGTTCTAGGCAAGTCTGACTCGAGGTTCATCTTACTGAGAATAACGCTTGAGCCGAAACCCTAAACCCTAAACCCTATGCCGAAAGCCAGAAGAACGGCTCGGGAAAGGCTCCCTGAGCCGGCCTCCTGGGCCCTGAAGCCGAGCTTGTTGATGCGGCGAGCAAGGAAGATCCGATTCGGGTCCTGCGCTAGGGATATGGGGTGCAGTGATGGGGTCTGCAATTAGGGGGTGTGCCGTAATCATGTAGCATAAGAGACCTAAGGAAAGGATACTTGGAGGATCATGGGACTCAGTAAGTAAGGTTATACGTCCCTTACTTGGGGTTATAAGTATAGTTACCCTAATTATAAGCCTACTTACTAAGTCCCATGATCCTTTAAGTAGAGCTTTGAAGTCTGACAGTACCTCACCCCTAGGCCTCGGCCTAGGTTGCACCCAACGAACGGTGCCAATCTCCGGTCTAGGGGAAACGGGCACAGCTTCGAGGCAGGGAAAGGCATGACAGTTTAGGGTTTCGGGTTTAGGGTTTTTAGGGTTTAGGGTTTAGGGTTTTTAGGGTTTAGGGTTTAGGGCCAAAACACTGAAGATGCTTCACTTGTTTCCATACGCTGGTATGTTACATTGAAATAGGGTCTTGCTGTGTAGTACTACTGTTGATGATATTAGGACCCTAAACTCTGGGAATTACTGTATATTCCTTACTATGGGTAATGCAGGATTTAAATCATCAACCGTATGTTGGTATGTGATTCCTAGGTGTCTGTATTCCTATTATCTTCATGTCGTCATGTATTGTGTTGTGCTGACAGAAAGAAGCAATGCAATATGGCGACACCAATACCCTAAACTCTAAACCGTGATGGAACCACTACAGGGGCCTAAAAATGCCAGTACAGTTCCCAAGGGGTTTCTTGTCATGGTTTTAATATGTAATCTACAGGGGGCCTGAATATGCCGGTACAGTTCCTAAGGGCTTCTTGGTATGGCCAGAGTAAACTATAATCTACAGGGGCTTAAATGGGAGTTTCCGAAAATAGGGGGTACCTTATTTTGGGGTCCTTATAATAGGGATCCTACTATTTAGGGTACTATATTAGGGTTTCCTATTTTAGGAAACCCCCAAATAGATACCAATAGGTTCCAATACCTATTCGGAACCGAGGGCCCTGACCTGTTTTCACGGCTCGAACCCAAACTTCAAACCTTGGACTCGTTCAGGGTTTAGGGTGTAGGGAATTCTGAAGACCAATGCTCTTATTTAAAGCCCCGATTAGTGAAGACCCAAAAAGACACAAAACCCTGAGCCCTAAAATTCTGGCCCCAAAACCCTAAGTCCGCGTGCACCCTGCACGGTTCAGATTTACGGTTCAGATTTATTTCAAGAAACAGAAGAGCCTTACAAGCCCAACAGCAATCAACACCTCCAAAATGCGGACACCAAACCACCGGAAAGGCTAAATCCCTAAACCCTTAAACCCTAACCCCCAACATCCCCCCCCTTCATGTCTTCAGAGAAGAGGAGTGTAGGGAAGGCTCCTCCGAGCTCAACTCGTTGAAATAGCCCCTGAGAGGGCCCGGGGCTTTTGTTTAGGGGTTAAGGGCTTCAAGGGGGACTTCGCAGCTTGGAGCTGTCGAAATGTTGGAGTTCCATTGGAGTGTTGGTGATTTTGGGCGGCTTTCGGTTTTTGCGAGTTTGGTTCTGCTTTGGAACTTTGGGCTTGGGCTTACGGCCTTGTGAAAGCCTTCAGAACAGCAGCAGCAGCAGAAGCAGGAACAGGAGCAGGAGCCGCAGCTGCAGCAGCAACTGCAGCAGCAACTGCTTCTGCAGGAGAAGTCGTCGTAGTGGTGGTAGTAGTCGGTGTAGTAGTCGACATCATTGACCCGCAGTGTTGCGGCGGTAGTGGTAGTGGCATGAGCAAAGTATAAGGCGGCTGGAATCGTCGATGCGAGACTACGATATTGCCAGGACAGGACTAGGAGCAAACAATATTGCTCAGGCTGCTCCCACAAACTGCAAGACATGAAACTCAATGCCACCATTAAGAATTTTAGCCTCGCTGTTCATTCAAGTTCTTCAAGATTATATTGTAGACTGCGCTCAACAAGTGGGGTCATTTCGATTGTGTGCACCTTCCTCTGTCGCTTGTTTACATTTTGCATCAGCGGAATCCAGTCGACAGCGCACCGCCATCCCAAAGCTGCAAAGCACTTCGGGAGCCCATGGTTTGGGGGGCATTCGAGCCTGTGGCCTCTTGCAGTCCCGGCCCCGAAACCGAATTCCCTTGACGTCTCGTCCAGCCCTCCACCTGAAAATCCTGCCGGGGTCTTGAGAGCCGCAGCGCGAACAGCCCAGACACAAACGTGACCACGCAAGCCATTTGATGTCGGGCCTGGCTATGTACAACTATGTACACCGCAACCTGCATAATCCTACATCCCTGCCAGCAGCTACGCTTTGGCTGCCTATCAGTTGGCAGATACGATGGCAGGTATGCACCTGTCATAGTATGTACAGAACCTTGTTCCGGCCCTCAAAGTCCAGAAGCGCTTCCTGAGATGTGGGGTTTCAGAAAGGGTTTGGGGGCCTTACGAGGTTTCCCAAACAGTAATCAAGATCCTCATGAAAAGGATCCCTAGATAAGGTACCCCTAATGTGAGAAACCCCCTGCGTGTCTCTCTCGCATTAGAGGGTCCTTGATCTTGACATGCGCACTTGGAGGTTCACGGGTAGTTATAAGCGGGGTTATAGTTAGAGAAACTATAGTTATAACCAATATTAAGGGACTTATAGCCCTACTTATAACCTCCAAGCACCCGACTTTCAAAGGCGGCTGCTTGAAGGAAGAAGGGCGAGGAATGCTGGTCCGACCACGGCAAACCCCAAGAGTTCCATCACGACGAGACACCTTGATGCGAGGGTCTTTGGCACAAAGATAAGCGCAGAACTGGTTCAGTGTCCGGACTGGAACGCCTGAAGGAAGGAAGACGTCCACGCTAGAAATCCGGGGTTCGCGGTACTATATCCTCAGGCCACAATAATACATGCCCTGGCAACAAACAGTCTGCTGTTGAGTTCACACCTGTTCCCTAAAGCCTAAACCCTCGTCTTCCGGGCTGACAGCCTGCACTCCTCCTAAACCCCAAACCCTATACTCCAAACCCTAAAACCCTCCGCCCAAAACCCTATACCCTGAACCCTATTCCCTAAACCCTATACCCTAAACCCTAAAACGGTTTAAGGTTTAGGGTACGTACCCTAGCGGGCAGTGGGCGCCTGGTGCGAGCTCACGGGACGGAAACTTCTCTGCGAAGACGCAACAAGGCACCTGGGCTGTGTACGCACACATGCGTGTCTGTGTTGTGTCTGTGTGTCTATTTTTGTGAATTATATACATATATATACATGTATATATATATATATACATATATGTATATATATGTATATAGCTAGGCCTATCGTCATCTAATGCATGTACATGGCAGCAATAAGAAGAACTAGAACAGGAATGCATGGTAGGAGCAATAAGACCAGAAATAATCGACCAACAACAAGGAAAATAGGACTAATAACATTAGTAGGAAGAATAAGAAACATGTGCATCTGCACATTTATTTTGATATAGATGAATTCATGGTTGGGATACGGGCATGTGGAGGAATGATTGTTGAGGCCCAGCTCCCAGCAACATCAGGGATCCTCAACTCAGAAGTAGACACAGCATACGAAAGCGCAGCGTCAACGCAAAAGGGCTTCACCGGGCAGGAACACGCCTAAGGCACCCCTATATTGAACCCTCAGCCCTAAAACCACCGGAGGGAAAATCCGGAAAACTCACTGCAGCTGCAGGGCCACCGCAAAGCGGCGTCCGGCATCCAAGGCCAAGTCCACGATGGCCTCGGTGGCCTGGAGTTTAGGAGTTGAGAGGATTGAGGGATCAGGGGTTTAGGGCTTAGCGGGAGTGGATTTTGTTCAGAAACCGTTCAACTTTTTTTTTGAGAGGTGAACCGCTTTTTCAAAGGTTGAAGGCTTTGTCACCGGTTTAGAGCTTTGTGGCCTGGGCCTTTTAGGGTTTGGTGGTGTTAGGGCTTTAGGGCTTGAAGCTTTTCAGTGCTTTGGGGTGTGGGTGGTTGGGTTTTCAGGGTGTCAGGGCTTCAAGGCTCTGCAGCTTCGGGCCGTTTTGGCTTTAGGTTGTGGTTGGGGCTTGGGTTGTAGGGCTTTGAGGGTTTAGGGCTTCAGGCCTTCCTTCGGTGTAGGGGTCTGTGGTCTTCGGGTTTGAGGATTTGGGCGTGAGGTCAGAACTGTAGGCTTTAAGGTTGAAGAGGCCGGACACGAAAGCAAGCTTGATTCTGCCGGAACCTGGAAGTATTTTGTGGAAAGGGTCTACATTGACTACTCCAGTCAACAGCTGCCCCCAAACCCCGGCGGCCTCATCCGGATGAAGGCCAGCCACGAGAGATGCATTGGCTAACCTGAGGGCCAAAGCTTCTCACCTCTGCTTACCAACGTGCACAGAGTCTTGCGCGGACAGCAAGGACCCCAAACCCTAAACCCTAAAGAAGGGCACATGAAGTGCATGCTGCTCGGGCTCCTTGTTGCCTGGCTTTCCCCAGTAAGCCGGGCTTGATCCCGTCCATGGTAGTACTGCATACTTGCTATAGGGGAACTACAGGAGTACTTTAAGGTGACTGGCAGGTTACTATGGTGGTAGGATAGGGTGCATGGGAGGCTAGCTTTTTACTGAGCACGACCATCACGTGATGCAGGCATGAAATGTCAGGAGATCAACACTGAGGCGCGAGATGGTAATCGTAGAAGAGAAACCTGACACTGCTTACGAACTATCCGGTCCTACACGCCTGCTCTTGCAAGCAGCACAAAACCATCCTTCTCTTTATTGCGTGCAGTTCTTGCGTTTTTGAACTTCAGAAACGGATGCCGGGTCGCAAGGCTGCCTGGCTGCCAGGAGCCTCAGATCCAAAGTGGCTGGCCTGGCTGGCATTGAATAGTCTTATTGGTGCTTCCATCTTGCTCTTGTACTGCAATGCGTATATACATGCAATGTGTATATAAAATGTACGCATATGTAACCTAGTGATGCTTTACACGGCCGTGACCATATTCGCAAACACACTTGTGTCTTGCCTTCGGTATTTCAGGGTGCCCTTCTGTGCCTCTGCGTACATCTTACTGAATGCTTATTTGACCTCCTCGGCTGCAGTTGTGGAGCTCATCGCTTTTCCATTCGTGGCACCCTGTAATCTGTAAGGTCTTCGAACAAGCTGATATGGTTGCCTGGTCATCTACTTACAAAAAGGCACAGGCCCAGTAAGCCACATATAGACCGCACAAGTATTGCTAATATCTATTTGACACGTACCATTGAAAGGCTTGACAACAAGCGCTTTCGAAGATTTAGCATGGATCCCTGATGTGAGCGCTTTTCCAACTGCTTTCACTTCGGTGGCGTCTTCTGCGATGTGACTCTCTCGGAGTCTGATCTTTCGTATCGAAGTAG